CGGGTAATACTAAATATGAAATATTTTAAGAAAATTAGTGGAATTTGAAAAAGTTTCGTGTTTTTAGACGAAGAAAAAAAAATAACATTCGGTGGATGATATTCAAGGGGGAAAAGGCGAGACTCCAGTACTCCAGGAGTACAAGCGGAGTACAAGCGGAGTACAGTGGAGTACAAGCGGAGTACAGTGGAGTACAAGCTGAGTACAAGCGGAGTACAAGCGGAGTATAGGTGGAGTACAGGCGGAGTACAAATGAAATTCCATTGAAGTACTATTTAATATAATTCATCTCTTATATCAATATCATCGCTTTGCTGAAGCATGCTATTATTCAATAATATGATTATAGGCTTTTGATTAAGATATTGAAAGGAAATCTGCTAATAAACTGGTAGACTTACTTTTCATTTTTCCTAGTCCTATTAATTATTATGATTTATTAGTGTGAAATGAATGATAGGGCTGTCTTAGGATTTCGTTTTCAAATAATACGCCAATCGTATCACTCTTTCAAAAATATCATCTTTCAGTTGTATGCTTCATTTATTAGTATAACTACAAAAAAAAAGTTTCCAGTTAAATTTTATTTTTAATAAAAAATAACTGATACGGTAAACTAATTAATAAATATGGTCTGACTGATTTCAAAGGATACATATATGCAGCTAACTAATGAAAACTGGTATTGAAAGTTATTTTATCATATTTAGTATACCTTATAAATCTAAAACCAACTTGGTTACTTTTTTGAAAAAAACTAAACCTGTTGATGTTTGAATGGACTAGTAAGTGATATAGACTATTTATGATCATTTATATAATATGGCAACTAAAAAATACTAAATTAATTTATCAATATTTCTATTACTCGCACAAATACATTTTTAAGAATTTGTTAAATATTTCACTAATTTCACAAGTTCTTTCTGTACGATAGAATTACAATTCAAATAATTTCCATTTTAACTGAAAGTAAAATGCACGATGCAGTTATTACATATAAAAAACCATTATTCACCTATCGATTGCTAGCAATCATTTAGATTAATTGTTTTTTTTTAAGTCGAATTTACTCAATGACAACCATCTTTTGACGTATACTTGACATGACATTAAAACCTATAATAAACCATCAACATGTATTTATTCAGATTCTAACCAAGTTACACGTACATTGTTTTTGATGTTTTTGTTGTTGACCTATTGAATTTGTTAAATTTGTATTATGGATAATAATCAAATCGAACAGCTTATCACCTTTACAGGTGAAAATTTCTATCAACATATTCAAGAACATTATGGTAAAAATATTGAAAAAATTTTAAGATTTCATGATATTGATAATTATTCGATATTGAACAAAGTTAATAAGAACGAATTATTGGAAATATTTGAAAAACCAAATGATGAATATTCAACTTTTGAATTGATTAATTTAAAAAAAGAAGTTTGTAATACATTTGAAGGAATAATATCATTAAAAATTGGAACTAAAAACAAAATGATCTTGTTATTAAAATCAGCCAGTGATATTATCAAAAGAAAATCTCAATTAGCAGCTCATGCAAGATTAAGTCAAATGGATAAATATCGATCATCATCATCATCATCATCAGGCAATACCAGTTCAAGTGACAATGAAATCAATATTAATAAATACCATCGATTGATACAAACATCTATTGCAAAATTATTGGTAAAGATGAAGAACCATATCCATGGTAATACACTTGTAAATGTATTAGCAAATGATTTTGAAGTTATTATTGAAAATATGAATGATCAACCAGTACCAACGTGTCTTGTTCAATGTATTTGTGGTGATCGTGTCAAATTATATTTTAATCACAGCCGGTTTCAGCTATCAAATTTAATCAAACATTTAAAAATTATAAATAATCGATCAACATCGATAATGAATAATAAGACTCATGAAATTGATAATCCAGTAGATTCCGACGAAATAAATTCAAACGAACAACCTGCGAGTGATGAAGATAATCCTTCTATCACTCCAAGTGTTTTCAATAAACATGTGAATATCGACAGTCAAAATACTAATACCTTAGCTTCGTTAGCATCAATTAAAAAGTCGTGAGTTTGTAGTTTTCTTGTACTTTAAACATTCTTTTCTTATGTTAATAATTAGTTACAGTCAAAAAGAAAAATCTGGTAATGATAATAATACTGATCAAGATGATAATTTGCCAGCCAAAACAACAATAAATCGGTAGGTTTTATCAACTAAAATGTAAAAACACTGTTTTTTTTTGTATAACAATATAGCAAAAATGGGCAACAAGTATCTCATATATTGGCAACAGATGGTTATATACAAAGTTCTATTTCAATCGTTTCATCGTCAAAACCAAAACAAGTATATTTGACTGTTGTTTTTATTCTTTTTATAGATACAACTTTTTTTTGAATATAAAGTTTTTTGGAAACTAATATGCAGTCGAATGCTTCCTTTGAAATATTGAAAAAAGCAGTTAACTGAGATTATAGATATATTTTTCGTAACGAGAATCGAGTGCATGTTTTTAGACAAGCATAATAGATTCATGTAAATGTAGTGAGTTAAAATAAAAAGTTTTATGGTATACGATTCTTTGTTAGAAGCATAATTTATATAGTATTAAAAGTTGAATTCGACAGATTACTATCTATTTATCATACAAGAATACTGTACTTCATCACATTTATTTCATTCTAGCGACTCGTAAGCAAAGAACGTGAACAAACAGTAAAGTTATTATCATATGATCAACATCCGAAACTTGACAAGAATCACGTAAAATAGATGAAAAATAAATTTGCGTTTCGTTGTCTACTGTTTGCATTATAGAATACTGGTTTAAATAATTCTTCACAGTCCAAAAAACGTAAATTGAATGACAATGAAAAACGAATTCAAATTTACTCATCAGTCAAACATCAAAAAAGGAGATCAGAACAAGAAGTAAGTAAAGCTTATATCTACAAATGTAACACTTGCGCTGTCCTTCGAATAATTCAGATTTTGTATGATAAAACCAATAATTCTGATATTTTGTGTACATTATTGGATACTATTAATGCAAACAAACACCGTCCACCTAATAATTATTATTACTCAGATTCTGTATTAAGATTTGCAGCTTGCTTTTTTATTTTGGCAGGAATATACGTTTATGAATATCTTCGTATTAATTTTAAATATTTGTTGCCTTCAATTCAAACTGTCAAACGTTTCTATACGCAAAATCCTTATTCAGAAGCTAACTTTAGGTTTGATGAGTGTAAATATTACCTCCAATCAAATCAATGTGAATTCATATTTTTATCCGAAGATTGTTCGGCTATAATTCCTCGAGTTGAATATGACTCAAGATTCGATGCATTCAATGGATTTGTAACACCAATTATAGATGGAACACCACTTGAAAATGCATTTAAGTTTACCACCTTCAATGATCTTGAAACCGCAATTGAAACCGTACCACGTGCCAATGTAGTTAATGTCCATCTGGTACAGCCAATTTCTAATTCTAATACTACAAAGACACCGCCCGCAACAGTATTATCCGCTTACGGAACGAATAATCGGATTAACGCTATGGATGTGCTAAAACGTTGGCTCTTTATTTATCAAGAATTTCATTCAAGAGGTATTCGTATTTTAGGATACTCTACAGATGGAGATCCAAAGTATTTGCGCGGAATGCGTTTGGCATCAAATTTTTTTCTCAAAAAAAAAACATTAAATATTTTCAATGATAAATTACTATTCAAAGTTGAAATTCCATCGAATTGGTCGTTTTGGTACTTTCTAGAACCTACTCAATTATTTGTTTTTATTCAAGATGGTGTGCATTTATGCACGAAAGTTCGTAATCGGTTATTGTCTAAACGAGCTAAATTAAAAATGGGATTATACGATGTGTCAATTAAACATTTGTACCATCTTATAAAAACGACAAACAAAATTGATCATAATCTTTCAAGATCTGATTTAAATGTTAGTGATAGACAAAATTTTACGTCGTGCAAACGAATATCAGATGATAAAGTGTTAAATTTATTAATGTTGAATGATAAATTTAATGGAACTTACAATTATTTATTAATTTTAAATTTATTGATTACGGCATACACACAGTCGAATGTTTCTTTATCTGATCGAATATTTTTTGCTTGGACTGTAGTTTTTTATATTAGATTATGGCGAATATGGTTACATATAACAAAACAAACTCGTAAATCATCAATGTCAAATGGTAAAAAACGTGGTGAACAAGATTATTTTATTACACATAATGCGTTATTATCCATTGAATTAAACGCTCATTATTTGATTTATTTATATTTGCTAATTGAACAAGATATTATACCTAAATCAACTGCTAATGTTATTCATTTATTTTCATCACAACAGTGTGAAAATGTATTCCGTGATGCCAGATCATTGTCGGGTATTTATTCTACTCGAATTAATTTTACAATCAAGCAATTTCTTCATCATCACTATTTATATCCTCAATAATAAGTACTTCTGACTCGGTCAAGCTATTCAACTTTAACAATTCTTTCGTTAATTGTGACGATTGTTGTATGTCAAAAAATTTATTTTTTATCAAACTAGCACCCATTCCAACAGAAATTGCCATTTGTTGTGCTGTTTGATAAGCTTCAAGAATAATTATTTCAATATTGTTAGAATTGAAAGTAACATCATTCTTATTAGTATTTGATTGTGTTTGAATAA